GTATATTTGGGAATAACGTTGACGAACGATTTTAGCATCGGATTGTAAATAATTTTGTAAAAATACGAAATATGACATAAGGGTTAAATCCAAAATGTATCCATACCATTCTGATTATGAAATTTTCATTTTTTTCAATTTTATTATTCGGTATTCTCAAAGAATAGATAAATACATAGTTAGATATATTTAATGGTCTGCTATAATAACTCTTAAGAAAGGATACAAACAATTTTACGAATAATACAATATGACGACCTACGACATAAAAATATATTTCTGTATTATAAAAGAAGGACCCCAAATGACGCGAAATTATTTAAAAAAGAAAGCATGCGTGCCAACCCTCCGTCCGTTATCGGATATTCTTAAAACTTCACTTGCTCATCCGCTAGTCTCGCATTTTACTTCAGTTACCAGTATCATTGCAAAAACTTGAGTTTAAATCGTGCATTTCGTTTGTTAGCGATTTAGGGCGCAAGCGTTCGCATACTTGCGCAAGCAACTATACGTAATAATATAAATAGAAAGAAAAAAAAATTGAAAGCGACAATTTTTACGCCGGTCCCCTTGGCGCCGCGCCGTAACCGTTCGAACCGCGTAGATCAATTTCGAGGCACGAAACGGCGGAACGATTGACCACCCCTGTCATTGAACAGGCGCGTGCAGTGCGACGTCAGTTTGTCGCGCTCACGAACACAGAGATATACGTAGGCAGAGGAAACGGCACGCTGACACGCCGCGGCGGCCGAGCGACCGACAGCCCGGCACGCTGGTACGTAGAGGCAGGCCGGCTGCCAGCCTGACACGCACGCTCTCATGTACAATCTCGTTCACACGTACGTTGGTAGGTTTGCGTGGGTAGAACGGTTCGCGCCGCGCGTGCCGACGGCCGCCTCCTCCTCCGACCCCGCCTTCGACGCCTTACCGGCTCACACGCTTCCTCGCTCACCGACTCTCTCGTTTCTTCTTTGCCTCTCCTGGTTCTCTCGTTTCCCCTCGAGCGCAGTCGTCTCATCGCTCTTCAACACACTCGCCGCACGCCTCACGGTCGGTCTCTACGGTCCATCCGTTCGACCGTTTCGCTCTTTCTCCGTCCCTATCAACCATGAAGCGGCCGCCGCCCGTCTCGCCGCACGCCGCACGCCTCCCCGTCTCACGCCTCTCGCCTGCTGCACGCCGCCAGTCGCCCACCACCCGTCACCCGCCACCCGCCACCCGCCTCGAGGGCTCATCGCCTCGGCGAGCCGAACAGCACGGATCGAGCTTGCCCTGTGACGGTACTTGCTCCGCTCCCTCGGCCACCGCGCTCACCGTCGAGCAGAGTCGATTCGTGCCATGCCGCGCCGCGCCGCGCCGTGCCGCGCCTCGCCTCGCGCCACGCCGCCCCACACCACGCCGACCCCCGCCGGCGTATCGCGCCACGCCACTTCAGGACCACGCCGTGCTCGCTCGTGCCGTGCCAGCACCGACAACGAGCCATCATCCGCCCCCACCTCGCTCTCCCACCTTTCTTCGGCAAGTCGTCGTAATTCCGTGCGCCGCGGCGTTATCCTCGTCCATATCCAGTCGCACGCACACGACCCGCCGCCGTTACCATCGCCGCCTTTTCGTTCGTGGCGCGAGACGCTCGAGTCAGAAAGAACGGGCGAACGAGCGAACAAGAAAACAGAAGCCCGCCGAGAGAGAAACGGGCACGACGTCAGTCAGGGACCAGACAGACAGACAGACAGACAGAGGAATATTAAAGGACGTCGTGGACAGTAACGATGTTCATCGTTTGATGCGTGTAATACGGAATCTTCGTTTCTGCGATTCTCCGAGAACCATTTCCAACTACCGCGCATAGTCGAGTCGCTTCGTGTTTAAAATTTTTTTCTTAAATTCAGTGCCACTCGACGCACTGCCTCGTTCTACGATCGTTTTATTTCTACGAGAGGGAATCCTTCGTTGCACAGTGTTCCGACGAGCGAGTTTCGTATTTCTAATTTTACTGCCTGTGGCCGCTCGCTTTCCAGGAACCACTCATTGCTATAATTTACGTATAATTGTTTGACGTTCGATGGGCGATAGATATCTGATTGCTATATCGACGAATCCGTTGGATTTCATTGTTTAATTGTTCGTGCGTAGTCGAATTAATTCGATCGTACAAGAAAAACACTCTTTTCATGAAGTTATGTATTATTCCACAAATGTGCATTGTAACGATCTAGTTAATAATTTGTATGCTTGCTAACTTATAAATAAATAGAACCCTGATACTTCTAAACTTCTAAACAATGTACGCGTTATTAAGAATTATATAAAATAACGAGTACACCATTTAACCATTCGAATATTTTTATTTTTCGCACTGAAATTTCAGCAAATATTGAGAACATTTTTAAACACGCAGAACAAACGTGGCAGTCAACGTGTTCGTTAATTATTCTACGCAATTAGGCACACTTTATACGAGTCTTGGACATCGCGCAATATTTCAATTAACATTTCAATAAGTTCTGCTTTTGTTCTCGTAGCAATTTTCGCCAGTTTAACCTTAACAGTCGCTGTTACATTTTTTATGGGGTACATATACGTCAGGATTTTCAAGTCGTTGGAGTACCTTCACATCCTTATCGAAATACTTCCTCACCTATATTTTACGGGTTATACTTTAGTTCCATTTTTGTTGATCGAAGATACCTATCCTTGATATTTTTGATTTATGAAAATAAATATATCAAAAGTAAAGGATTGACCAATTGTTTACAAAATTATGAAAATCTTAATGAGCGTTTTACACATATTATTGCCTAATAATGTTAAAATAAATTGTACTCAAGCTCTAAATGGCAGCCTGTGTTAAATATAAGACTCGCTCTACACGGATAGAGTCCGTATAAAATAATATTCTATTATTGTCCAAGTCATAATACCACCGGAAACATAAAATATGTCATTTTTTCATCATCCCCTGTACTTATCTATTTTGTTCGCAATACTACGATACGAGCGAAAATTTTTCCAGTATAGTTACATAATTTTATATTCGAGAAGCCACGAACTTTAATCGACGAAAAACAGTCATCCACTACGAATGGGTCAAAACTTTCTTCGACGAAGGGCCCCACGGGCGTGTAGCGATCAACCGACGACGAACAAAACGAAAAAATTAATTTTTCGAACGGTGAAAAATCGTAACCGGTTCTTGGGACACGACGTTCTTCCCGCTAACGAAACGCGGTAATGAAATGTTGCTTCTGTGGGAAATTTCGAGGCGATTCAAATTGGTTTCCGTTTCAGCGATACATCGCGTAGTTATGCGATAAAGCGGCACTGGGAAAGAAAGAAAAAAGAGATCAAGGTAGGTCGCGTACAACTAGCAATTCCCTAGGAACGAGAGAAACGGAGGCTGAACGCGAGAGACAGGGTGAGATAAAGAGAGATAGAGGGGGGTGGAGGGAGCGAGAGAGAGGAGTGAGAGAGGAGAGGAGCACACGTAGCCGCAGGCAAGGGCGCGCGTGAGCGGGCAAGCGAGCCTCATCCTCTCCCTCGGCCCCTTGACGGCAGCGGCTCTGGCAAGTAGCCACCAACCGACCCCCGCCTCACGCACGACCAACCGCGGCGCGATCCTCCGCACGGCCCCCGGCTTCTCGCCTGCACTCACACACCCGCGAATCTCGGCGGAGAGCCGCCAGCTACCGCTCGTCGACTCACAGTCCGTCACCGTCGCTCGTCGAGCGAGGACAGGGGCGATATTTGCGAGGCGGGAAACGATAGATACGGGTGAAACCCAGAGAGAATCAAAGGGCGATTTTCAATATCGTTCGTTCTCACACCCCCATCGAGATACACAACGAAATCGCCTTCTCGCGACTCCGAATGGTTTTTCAATGTAAACGTCACCGGAAGGAAATTCTTTTCCTACGTGTATTGTTCGCGACGAATGAGACACTTTCGCGAGGAATCGGTTTTCAGAGAAATTCCACACCCCCCATTCCTCTCTTTTTAAATGCAACGTAGGACAGTGACGATATCGCGGAATTGGCATCAAGCTATCGAACTCTCGCGGAATACAACCGTCGAGGTTATTTCAGATACGTGTGCTGTGATGGGAACAATGAGTCCAACGTATTCAGCGTATTCGTGCGCGATCATGAACGACAGGAAGTAAATTTAGTGATCGTGAGTGTGTAACGCGCTCTGCGGCCCACGTGGTTTCGGGCGTCGCGCCCGGATGTGCTTCTGCTCAGGATCGAGTGAAAACTTTGAAACTTTCCGGTTGGAAGTTCGGTGATCGGGTCGCGTGTATAAACCCGCGTGGAAAGCGCGCGCCTCCGTCTAGGGGCTGTTGTTACAGAGTGGGGCGGTACGTGTTCGCTTCAAGTGGAATAAGAAGCAACGGGGGAGTCCAGCTGACAGAACACGTGTACCGTTTTCGTACGTAATGATATTTATACAGTGATAATACGGCGGCTGCGTACTGACATCCCACCTTGTGTTTGCATTTTTGAGAACAACTGCAGGATGTTGATCGTGTGTTGCCCGCGAGTGTGTGAGATTTGAAAATCAAAACAACGTAGTGCCACGTAGCTTCCTCGGACGCGAAATGCTGAGTGTCTCAGCCGTGTCAGGCCGATTACTTTGGGCATTGCGATCCACTTTGCCACCACCACCGTCTTTACCACCGACGCCACCGCCGTCGTCGTCGTCGACCTCGTCGTCGTCGTCGTCGTCGGCTTCGTCGTCGGCTTCGTCGTCGTCGTCGTCGGCGGCTTCGTCGTCGTCGTCGTCGTCGTCGTCGTCGTCGACGTCGTCGCCGTCGTTACCATTGTCGTCGCCGTCGCCGCCGTCGACGTTGCTGTTGCCGCCCTCGTCGCCGCCACAGACCTCGTTTTCGTCCACACCGCCCTCATCACCGTCACTGCTACCATTATTGTTGTTGTTATCGTCACTGTTATCATCATCATCTCCATTGCTGTCGCCGCAGCCAAGGGCCCACGTGGCCTACTAAGATGACCGCTCGTCTTCATTCGTTGAGGCATCAGGAGAAGAAATCGGCCGGCAATAGTCACAGACAACATCACCATCATCATCATCAACAATCTCAGCATCAACAGAGCGTCCATCAGGGTCCCAGTCCGGCAGCTAGTCCTAGTCCTAGTCTGAGCCCGAGCCCTAAACACTCGGACGGTCGTCGAGTGAGTAAAACTATTTTTTTTTAATCGCCGTTCCAGCTACACCCTTCCTTATTCGCCCAAGGAGTCCGTCGTATTTATTTAACGCATCGAAAAGCAAGAAAAATGTAAAAAAGAAAAAAAACGAAACAAAAATATATAATATATGATATGGTGAACGGGTGAGATCCAGCAACAGCTGTTTTACAACCTAACCTTGATATCGACACATTCGTATTTTGAACGTTCGCTTTAAATTGCGATGCTGCAAGGGCTGCAAATTTTTCTTTTTTGCTCTTTCCGTTTCTGTAGTAGTTCGATATACTATGACCATTCTAAAGGGTGAAAAGCGCGGGAATATTAGCGCCGTATCAATAATATGCGCTCGTCGCAAATCGTAGAAGTTTTTGTTTGAAATTCAAGTCGAGAAGAAAGGCGTATTGCAAAGAGAAAGAAAAATGAGTCACGGATCAAGAAGAACGTGGACAGAGTCGAGTAATTTTCGCTTCGTTGCTGGCCTTATTAAGTCCGACTTAAATCAGAATTGTTCTACCGTTTGGTCTGAAAATGTCTTAAAACCACTAGTCGTTCCGACATCCAGTTTTTATTTAAAATGCATTTACATCCGTGCCGCGCAAACATTTTTCCGTAAATTCTACGTTATTTGCACGCAGTAAATTTATTCCGGTTCACATTCTTGTTTGACTTCGATCACTGTTAATATACAATCGAACTAGCGGCAATCGTTCTTATAATTACTGTATCATTAGCATGCTAGATCGCATTCCTTCCGTTTTCACCTGCTCCAACTTTGTCGTAGGAATCTCTGCTCGCGATTTACCTATTCGTCGAACTCGTTACATTCCGCGTTTGTTTATACGCGTATCCCATTAAATTTCAATCGGTACGTCGATTAATTACATTTCTATTAAAGTATTCCCGTTCGATGGGCTCTCGATAAGTCGCGACAAGTATAATACATTCATAGATTTTCGTTTTTGTTTTAACAATCGCGATACACCGATTTCGATTCGCATATTTTAAAAAGCATCGTTACCTTTTAGGCTAACAAACCACTAATGGAAAAGCGACGGCGAGCGAGGATCAATCAGTCGCTGGCGGCGCTGAAGGCGCTTATCCTTGACAGCGCCCGGTTGGAGAACACGAAGCATAGCAAGCTTGAAAAAGCTGACATTTTAGAATTAACAGTTCGGCATTTGCAAAGGCAGAGATCTCTTGCTCAGCCTGGCTTATCAAGGTATAAGGCTGGCTACCAAGATTGCTCTAGAGAGGTAAGTTTCGATCGACGTGCCGCGGTTACCGGAAGAATGATTAATTTTTTAAAAATTGCGCCATTCGAATCACTGGGAACGATTGCGGGAGTTACAGAATGCACCAGTTTCGAATTAAAATACGTCTTGCAATTATCTGGTACAGACGAGGATAAACAGTTTTTAAAAACAGACTGGAAGACTTGGTATTTTAAAAGGAAACTTACATCGTGGCGCAAACAAATTAAATCGCGAAGCGTTGCTTTATTTTTAATTTTTTAACAGCATAATAACTCGAGACATGCAAACAGATGGTAATGAAGTAGATATATATTAACTACACAACTTCATCGGAATCTCTGAATTAAAACTCTATCGAACGTAATATTTTAATTTTAATAAATACGATAGTTTGATTTCATTACTTTGGACATGAAAGTAGACGATAATAGCGACAGGGTTACTTGTTGTGTTTTTGAGCAAAGAATATAGCATTTGGTCCAGGATCTGTTGGAAGGACTCATCAGTAAATTTTCTGAGTGTTGAATTTCTCGGTAGAAGTCCTATGCGAGACGTTCCACGGGTTTTAGATAACACTGTTTGGAACAGAATATCTCCTTATGTTTGACACAATAATCTCGCATCGATAGGGCGAGAGTAAAATTGTTTAGTCTCTCTTTGGCGCCTGCAACTATCGTCTTCTCAGCAACTATTCTTAGAAGAACGTCACCTTTGTTGAATTATAATTGCCATTAATTTATTCTCCTTTTATTTCGTAACATGTCCCTTTTCGAATTTTATAAATATCATTCTAATTTCTTTCTCAGACCTCACCAAGTTACATCAAATTGGTTCGCTATTCTTTAATTAAGTACAATTCTTTCAGTCGGTACTAAAAAGCCTAATATTATTTATTTATCATATTTTTGGTAACCCCTTGACGTACAATTTAATTTCACGTGATTGCTCAAATTTAAATTTGTTCGTAGAAGGAATGGCTACAAAGAAGAATAGATTTGTTTCACCAATACCTCGCGAATGTAAAAATGTGTTGATTTTAACACTAGGTTTACGGAACGCGTCAATTTGACGATTTTCAGATCCCAAACTTGACGACAGAACTCATAAATATTATATGTTAGCAATTAGTGTTAAATTTGATCAATATAACGATACGAATGTCCGTAAATCTAGCGTTAACGTAAAAGATTTGACGATGCGCGTAACATCGCAATTGCGAAACTTGGCAAAAAAAGAACTTACGAGACGAGTCAGATCGCTGTACGGCAAGGGGTTAAACTATTAGAACTCGAAATAAACTCCAGCGAGGTGTAGGGGAGAGATTTTTCAAACGTATAACGAAACTAGAACGGTACGAAGAAATTAGACGCGTCGGTATTCGACTGTGATGTTGCAGGTAAGTCGATACCTCGATGCACCGGACATTATCACCGGGAATACGACGCCGATGGACCCAGCGGTGAAACAGAGGTTATTACGGCACTTGGATAGTTGCGTATCAGAATTGGACCTGGATCTGGGTTCGAGGCCGGATAGCGGATTAGGCAGCAGTCCCGGAAGCGTGACGGATCGAGTGACGGGCGCGGGTAGTCCCGGTCCGTTGGAGCATCACGTGCCGCCGACCGCGCATTGCAGTACAGCTCTGAATCCGGCCGGCTTGATAAAAGCAGAGATTCCGGACATCGAGCCAGCCAGGCCGGACAGTAGCACTGCCGGCGACGAAAATAACAATAACAGCAGCAGCAGTAGCGGTGGCAACAGTCGGCCGACTTCTGCCTTCGGTCAGCTAAATCCCGGTAGCCTTGAGTCTCATCATCACCCGCCCCCGCCTCCCCCGCCGCCCGGTATACCGGTGATCGATCAAACAGCCTCGAATTCCCAACAAAATCCAAACATGCTGTCGGTCGTGCAGGTGATACCCTCGAGATTGCCCGACGGCCAAGTCGTCTTTCTCCTCCCTAGTCATTACGTTCAGTTAGCAGCGGCCGCCGCCGCGAACGGCATCAGCATCGGGCCAAACCCGCCCACGGCCATTTGGGCCGCCACTAACATGTCGTTGCTGAAGGCGACGGACAAGCTCGCGAAACGGCCCCACGAAGACATGCAGGAGTGGCAGGACGCGGCCTCTGTCGCCGCTAATGCTGCTGTTGCCGCCGCCGCAGCCGCCGCCACGTCCGCCAACGCTTCCGTCTCCGCTTCCGTTTCCGCATCTGCCCCCGCGTCCACCTTCGCCGCGAACGCCTCGTCCGGTCCAAAGCCTAGCAAAAGTCCAAGGCTCGAGCCGCCCGAGCAGCCGCTCGATTTCACCACCACCTCGAAAAGGCTGAAAACAGGCGCCAGGACCCCGATGCCCGTAAACGCCGTCGACCAGCATCATCATCATCACAACCTTCAGCAGCAGCATTTCGCGACCCGTCTGGTCGGTGACGGTTCGATCGCCACGCACGACGACAGGCCGTCCAGTCACGCGAGCGGCGAGTTCGTCACGGGGATTCGTTCCCCGTCCCCCCTGCCCCAGCAGCCCGTCAGAGACGAGGAGGGAATGTGGAGGCCTTGGTAAACGGACAAGCGACGATTCCTTCCGCGTGCAGCGTCGAACTGGGTCTCTATCGCCTAGGGTGGGTGTGCGCGTGTGTTCGCGCGTGTCTCGTTATCGGACGATACGGTTAGGACATGCCTCCGAGCGTGTCGCGTTCACCGATGCGACGACACTTGCCGGGTTATCTCGATATCGATAGACTCTGCTGTTCCCCGCCGAGTGAAACGTACATCGAGAAAGAAACGAACGCCGTGACAATGGCGGCCGTGCGCGTCCCAGACGCCACGAGGACGGAGCTGATTCCGTGGACTCTTTTCGATCCGTTTGAACACTTTCGATCGATCGTTCGACGAGACAAAAATTGTTCGTAGGATACTACACGTTTGTCGTTCGATGGTTTTATTGGGTCGCGCGATCCCTCGCCTTCCGACGCCGCGGAGGGACCGAACCCGGGAGTTCGGCCAGGATGGAAGGGGAGGGCGACCCGGCGAACGACGAAACGCATCGTTTGACGTCTTAGCGATGCGAGGAAACGTTACCTGTTTAAAACGTTGAAAGATAATGGTTTCGCGTATATATGTATATGAGAAAAGCATCTAGCACGTTTTAGAATGCGGCGGCGAAGCGTTCACCGCCGCATAGTACCTACCTTTATTCCGCCGTCGTGTAAATAGCCCCGTTCGGAATTATAAGCGATGCCGAGTATAGATTTATTTTGATGTTAACTAGGTGTATATGCGTACAAAATAGCGTAGAGAGAGTGAAAGGAGCGCGACCGAATCTATAGCGAATGTGTTTCCAAGATCAACATTTTCGCGTTCTAGGTGAATCCACGGTTCTGACCCGACCGATCTGCGTAATTGCTATATTGAGATTCGAATTCATTATTCAATGTACTTAGACATCGGTCAATATAAACGTATGTACATACCAAATCCGTGAAACGCTATCAGTGCGATCCCTATCGATCATCGATCTCCTCCTTGCCTCGTATTTAGCGTGCATGCCTAACCTTCGAACATCTTTTCAGTATGGTGCAACAACGATCACGGAGACGAGAAAGCAACGATACTCAGGTTTGTTGTGTTGGCCTAAGACTGTAGTTACAGAAATAGGAGACCAACAAATATAACTTAAGAACGTGGACAATTGTAATCTATATTAAACTCTAGAATTTGCTCGTAACAAATCGTAACATTTCTGGTAATAGAACATTTACATCGAATAACACATTTTTTTTTATTAACCCTTAAATGGATTATTGGGGCAAGTTTAAACTAATAATTATTTAATATATGAAAATTTATGTAATTCTTCAAGTTTCTGATAGTTGATTTCCATTTACCAATTTGGTAAAAATCAACATTAAGTAAAATAATTTAATTGAGATTGAGAGTCCACTTAAGGGTTAAGCATTCGGAACCATGCATAGTATTTACAATGAAGTCCTTAAATTTGTAATTTACATTCTTTGAAAAAAGTAATTTCACGCCTGGAAGTTCGATGAAACGTAGGTCGTCCTACGTATTAACCATCATACAAGGTGATTTCAAAATAGATGGTCTCCCTCTGACTCTGTATTTTATTCTTCCTAAAGATGAGGAGTGGCTTCTTTCCCCTCCGCAACGAATACCGTATGACGCGTTTATAAAATTCAGCGTGTATTCCAAATTTTGTTTAATTTATTTTTGCTTTGTTCAGGAATTTTCATAGTATCGTTATTACATATAAACTTTTCAAATGTTCTTGCAAATGAAAATCCACAGGAGTTCAGTCAAGGGAGCGTCATGCGATCGATCGGTGTAGCTTTACTAGACGTTTGAGACAGAAACGATCCTCTCGACGATCCATAGTCCTGCAATTTATTTTAGCATGCTTCGCGTGGAATCGTGCTCTTATATTACCTTTCGACGTCAGAACAACATTCGTAAACGGTCGCGTAAGTCTGCTATTTCGGAGTTCGACCACCAAGCGGAAGCCTTCCCCCGTTCGTTCTAAAAGCGTTAAGCCTCTGAAATCACGTGTCCGTTATCTACATTTTTTAACTTTGATAAATCTCATTATCAATACGTATCGATTGTCAACGTTTGTCCCCGTGTAAAGAAAGTGATGGGGGCTCGAGTCGTTGATGATGAATATGTGGATGTACTTGGTTACAAACGTATAACAACTAGTGTCTTACTTATTGTCTAATTTACGCGTGGTTTACGATTCCCACATCGATGCAAACGAAACAACTTAATAATTTATGGGATACGTGCGATTCGAGTGGGGGCGAAAAGTACGGAAACAGAGTGGCGTCGCTTACACTTTCACTCAACAGCAAAGTCTGGCCTTCTCAGTCTCTGTAGATGTTTTACAGCAGTTTAACCACCTGTTACGTTGAGACTCGCGCCGAACTTCCGCGCTTTTCTTTTTCGCGAAACACGCGAGTGCTCCCCACGCCGCTCTGGCCCCTGACGCACAGCACTCCATTCCCATTCTTAACCTACCCTATCCGAATCTGTTCTTCTTTACTCTGCATACATTTGTTCCTTCGTTCTGGTGTTGAGTCACTGTCCAAACGAACGTTCCTCTATTTGAGATACAAAGAAGTAAACCGGACTCTACGATCTACTATGACATAAGGCGTCCAAATTTTCTTTTAAAATACGTTCATTTTATCGTGAAAACGCGATAAAGGATAATCGAAGTTGTTTCAAGATGCATAAATTCGAAAAGTGGAATAGGTCCTTATTGACTTTGGACGACAGTATACTATAATGATAGGTCGAACGAGGAATTTTTAACTTTGTTAAATTTTATTTTAATAAATCACTGCAAGTACGGATGCAACGATGAAACAAGAACGAAGATGCTTTTACTGAAAAAGAACAGGACAACAAGTTTACTACCATTATAACGAGTATTTAGTGATCAAATATTGTGTACTATGATTTGATTAAACTTTAATCGTATTTATCAAACATAAATAAAGATCGTAAGCTCACTTGTAGGACCCATGGATCCAATTACAGGAATAGAAAAGTTTTATAAAGCAGGTACAAGTTTTTTGTAACTGATTTGGGGTAAAATGCGTGGTATCCAAGTAAGGTACGTGGAGTATAATTGTGGGGTTCTGTGCTAAGCTAAGGTGGATCACTAGCCTACTAAATTAAAGTGATCACTGGCGATATCTTCCGTCTCTGCCAGTGACTATCATCGCGTAGGAACGCATTCAATCTATATAACAGCGTTCTACATATACGACAGAAGAAAATTGAACCTACACTTTAAATTGTAACATACATGATATTTTATTCAATGTTCGAGTACAAAACGTAAAAGAAATGGCAAAATACGTAGTATTAGATATTTAAGCTTTCTATGAAAAATATTACAATAGTATTAGTTTCATTATTTTGCTTATTTATAGAATCAAGAAGAATTTCAATGAACAAATCTATATTTAAACTTTGTCCATGAGACAGTTATTAACAAATTTGAAGGAAAATTTTCACAGCTACGGAAAAATCGATCGATGCGACAATCCGCAAGAAAATTTGTCCTCAGTCGGCAAGTATTTCGAAAAATACGAAGGGATATCGCAATAAACTTCCTAGATCCAGGAAGATGGCGGCACAGACGAGGTGTACCAGTAGATCTTTTACCTTATGGACTTTCGTGGCCCAATCTGACTGCCATACCGACTACAATACTAATTCAGTGAATAGTTTCTCAACTGACCGCCATCGATGAGAAGAGAACGCTAAAATCTACTCCGAATTTTCAGGTCGATAAGGCAGTCAGAATTTGGTTTCACGTAAACTGAAGTATCGACAGCAAGAAGTCTGACCTCTATACTCAAAGAAGAGTGGTTGTGAAAACTGCGTGCGACTCAACCGCTAAAATAGATGAAATCACCCTTTGGACCCAGACGAGGTATAAGAGTAGACCTTTCATCCAAAGTATTTTTTCGGCCCATTTTTCTGGGGCTCTAGAGCCCCATTACCATTTCCGTGTCACATCGATATTACCAACAGCTTTAGAAATAAACATTTTTTGTGTTATCATTGTTGTTAATTTTGTTCTATATATCTTCAGAGACTTTAACAATCGTATTTTACAAAACAAAAGTGTCCGAAAACAACAACGTGAATTTGTTTAAGATTCGAGGCTGTTAAGTGTTTCGTGCTTCGAATCATCGATTGTCGCGATGCTAGCGGAATCAGAGATTAATAAAGATATTAATAACGGGTTATTCGTGGAAAATAAAGCACACAAAATGTTAAGTTGACGTCGGCCGAGTGACTCGACCGACCGTTTCGAAACTGTTGCATTTATTTACATCAGTGATTGCAAAGAAATATACACACGAAGCAGCGTTGTAAACGTACTTTTCTCACCTTTGTTCCACTCTTTCTAAGAACGTACATTCCTCGTAAGAACAAATATCTTTTGCTCCATCGTTTCGTATTATTCGTCCTTCGTTTTAAGTAATATTGCATCATCGAAAAGGGACGTAGCCTTAAATTATTTAGATCGCTGTACAACTGTACTGCCGTACTACTGCCGTACTACTGCCACTTACGTATATTTTTCCATTCTTTTTTTTTTGTATCTTTTCATGTATTTTTTTTTTCTCTGTTACGTTGATGTTTTGTCGAAGATTGCTTGAACACTGGTAAAACGACGAAACGCGCGTAACTATCGGGTAGTAGAGTATGTGTTCGTATATAGTAAGGCGTTATCAGACGATCGTCGATATACAATCATCGGGTAATTTACAAATGTGTCGGTGAACGTGTCTACTTGACGAAACGCGAAGCTTGGCGACATTTTGTTTGGTCGAGCGAGTTTCTCGTTAAAAAGAAATACGATTCTAGGAATACGAACGCTCGTATACTAAGAATAAGCTCCAAGATGTCTCTATCCGGCGAATTATGATGGATTTTAGAGCGAAGAAAAGATGTCGGATCCATTCATTCGGGTCGTAGTGATTCTTTTTCCCTGGGAAGTCTCCCCGAAAATTTAAAGAGCGACTAACGTTTCAAAGGATGCACGTTTTCGAATTTTCTTTGCTGCTCGGTTAAAAGAGCGTTGAAGTCTTTCAGCGTGCCTCGTACAAAGTCGAGTTCACGTATGTGACGCACAAACGAAAACTCTTTCAAATTTTCGGTCGCACACGTTCGCTCGAAAGTCTATTTCTCGACGTTTCGTTTCATTTTGTCCAATAAATATAGAAATAAATATAAAAATATTCGTACGAGAATGGTTATCTTAAATATTAATAGACTTTTTATTTAAATCGTCATTCTACTTATAAAAGTATTAGACTGTGATAGTAAAAATATGATTTGAAATAAATGCCTTTATTAAAAAGGTGGTCAAAACGCCTCGCGACAACGGAAACAGATATGTATTCGGTGACAACTTAAAACCTACTTTTATACGTGAAAAGTTTAAAATTGTAAAATTAAGTTCCTTTTCAAAACTTAAGTTTCTTTACAAGATTCCAATCCAGAACCCTTAAAAAATTGAGCAATTCTTTTTTCAAATGTCATAATAAACTAAGCATCACAGAATCGTATAACCCTTTCCTTTACCAATTTTCTTGCTTATTCTTTCTAGACTCACTGTGCATGATTTTAGTATCTATTGATAGGAGAACTTTCTTCTCGACACGGGGAACGAAATGTCGCCAAGATTAGCGCACGATCGATGGATCATCGGCGAGAACTACTGTCGACGTAAAGAAACGTCATCGACGTCTACATCTATTAATACTCGTTACCTTTAAACGAAAATCGTAGCGGAAGTCGTGAGCAGAAACGGAGGAAACGATGGTTCACGCGTCTGTACACGATGGTTTTGCGCAGTGGGGGTTTAAATAATACCGTATCGATACCATCGGTAACAGATAACAAGGTTCAGTGGCGCCAAACGTATCCGATCATCGATTGTTCCAGTATCCTACTATGCTTGGATGACAGAACTTACGATACGGGAGACTCTATCGTATCATGTTATACTAGACCATTTTGACATCTTACGAAAGTATCGATACGTATCAAATGCAACAACTCGTATGTAGGTACTTGATATTGATTTCCAATAACGATACTTCTGTAACGAATGTTGGTCGATACCAGTGTTGAGCAAACTTATTGTTGTGATTATGTGATTAATGTGTAATCGAATCAGCGATGATTCGTGCACAAATAAATAAGGCTGATGTAATCATCGGGCATAAATCGTTGCTCATGAAAAGATTGTTAGATATGATCGAATAATAGAGTTAACAATTGGACAGATAAAGTAACCGTTTGATACATTTACTATACGATCGATGTGTATTCGATATTATACAGTAGTGTCATCACGATTAAGTTTCCTCACAAAAATCACGATATCGAAAATTGATACCAAGTACTTGAGATTTCGATATATTTCGATAATTCTTATCGAGTACTCTCACGCCAAATCGCTCGAATATTATTACCATGTAATCGTGCCAGTCCCATCAGTTGTTTGGCGTATACATATTTATTAGTGATGGGAATGATACCAAATTAATACTAATTGATACTAGCCCGTAAAGTATAATTTAATATTAAACAGTATCAAACGTTATCAAAGAGAGAATCGATACTCATTTCTACGGAAGCATCGATACATATTTGATACTACAAATTAATAACGAGTAGTGTTTGCCACGATTGAGAATTAAATCAATAGAATTCTAGCAATTACATTCGTTTGCCAAAGAATGCCTAAGAGAAGAGGTAAACTATGATTATAATTGCTACAATTGTTTGGATTTAATTTTTATTTCGTACATCCATTGGGTGATCCCTATAGAATTTTTTGTTTCAGAATTACAGTTTGTTTATTGAAATACATGGATCTACAATATAGAAAACTGAAAGTGCTAGGAAATTTAATTCATTCTTGAAAAATAAGGGATTTTTCGAACACATTAATGTATCATGTTTATTCAATTTTGTGATCTTTAATGCCTGGAAATATGTATCAAAGTTTAAAAAGTGAATATTTTTGCATTTTTACGAGAAGTTTGTATCGTGCATATATTTCTAGATGGTTTCTTCTTCAGAAATTTTTATCGAATTCGATATTGTGCAATAAATTCTTGTTGGACGAACTTTTCGTAAAAATGTAAAAATAATAAGTAAAAAGTATAAAAATCATCACTTTTTAAAACATTGATGCCCGTTTTTAGTTATTGAAGGTCACAAATATTGAATGAATATTTTTCCCTATCTTTCAGATTAAATTGAATTTTCAAGGATTTTTAGTTTCCACGTAACGTTTGATTTTTGTTAAAACACGTACGTTTTCGCAGAAATTCATTATTGGGACGGGATACACTACAAGGATCACTCAGAAATGATATTTGTAGATCAGAAAAAACGTTTTAATTTGTTAAATAGTATCATCAGAGAGTGTGACAGTTTTACAATGTTACATAGTTTCATAAACCTCCTCATTGTTCTATACATTTTATTACAAATTGTTGCTCGTACCGTCGTCTTATATCAATTAGATTTTATTTATTATTTTTAATACAGTTGTAATAGTATCGATAACTACTATGTATCGTACAATATTAGTATCGATCAAACATTTATTGCAAAAGTATTTATATTGAAAATTGATACCAAGTATTTGAGATCTCGATACCACTCAGTACTTCTTATCTAGCACTTCGGTACTGAATTACTCGAATATCAAAATCGTATCAGTCCCATCACTACTATCAGAATGTCCCAAAAAATATTGCTCATTTAAGTTTCTCTGCTTCCTGTAATTTTTAAATCGCAGTAGAACCAAATTACTATACATTCTATATATTTTAAAAATGCTTTCTTTAATGCATTTGCATTTTTGCATTTTATTTACGTCGTTTCATATTTTTTGGTTTAGTTTCATTTATATGTTGCTTTATTATAGCAACGCATAGAATACGTACGAACGAAATTCAACTCACTCAAATCAGTCTTAAAATTTTATTATTAAATGAGAAAATAATTATTTTTATTTAATATTATTCGACAATTTTTATTACTCTGTTTTCAGACGAACCTTTTGTTTCTTTTATCAGAAGCAGACTGAAGGGTGATTAATACGTTATAAAATAATTACAAGCATCAAACAAAACAGTTTACGTAAATTTGAAATATTCAAATTTATAAACACAGACTATGTCGCATAAATATAAAAAAAATGAAATTTCTCGAAAGTATAGCGTTCTTATTTCGATCCATGAATATGGGAATTTCACACGGTACCTAATAGAATATCTATTTATTCTCATAAAAGCTCGGTGTACCATAATCTGAGAAACCCCTGCCATCGTTCGCAACGCTTAAAACTGTGCATCGCCACGGTCGTTGAATTTATCGATATCAAGGTTTGAAAGTATGCATTATTTTCTGGGACGCCCAAATATCGATATCGCGAGTGTTCCGAGCGGACGTAGCAATCGCGGGATTAATTATTATTCGTATCCGCCGGTCGAATCGATCGGCGTTCCATCTCTCTCCGCGAATCGAGTGAATCGAACGTAGCAATTATTATCATAGACGTATTGGAGAATGCAGCTATTTCAAAGAGAACTTTCATAGGGTGGCTCTATCTTTAGGAACAGTCGCCACGAAACAACGTCGAACCGCCCCGAGGCGGCGTCGAGGCCGTCAAAGAAATCGACTCCGCGGACCGCGAAAAAATCTCGGAGCAGCCTCGACGGGAGAATGTTCGCTGTTCGCCTAATCTGGCGTCGCTGCACCGCGTCGTCGCGGCGACAACTTTCAAGGAAAAACGTCTACGGACTCTCTAAGGCGTGCCTAAGTACGCGACACGGTAGTTGAACTATATCCGAGGGAAAGGGTAGTAGTGTTTACTGTATGTACACAAAACGCACGCGTCCATGTTTATCTTTGTTCCTCGCGCACACGTTTACTCGCATCGAGAACGGTCTCGTTTAAATCCACTGTTAGCGAATTATCCTGGAACTACCGCAGAGCATCCTCTTGAACGCTTGCCTGAACTCTGGCGAGAACACTGTGTAGATGACAGGGTTCAGGGTGCTGTTGAAGTAACCCAGCCAGAGGAAGAAGCTGGCCATCAGCTCCGGCGGCTCGCACACCTCGCACGTGGCGCGAAGCAACGCCACCAGGAAGAACGGAAGCCAACAGGCGACGAACGCCCCGGTTATTATCGCCAACGTCTTCGCTGCCTTCCTCTCGCGCTTCGACTCGAGCGTCTCGCGTGTTCTTTTCGTGGATGAGGTCGAGTGGCTGCTCGACGGATGCGTCACGGTGGTCGCGGTGGTGGTGGTCGTCGTCGTGGACACCACGGATGGCGTCACCGTCGTTGGCTGCGTCGTCGCGTTCGCCCCGTTGTACGACGACGATTTCTCCGGCGAGATCGACGAATGGTCCGGCGTCGATCTCGTTATGGTGAACGCCGTCGACTCCTCCCGAGGCCTGGAATCATCGTTGTAACGTCGATGATTTTATTCACGGAGAAACATCGAAACGAACAAATTGTGGTCTCTTGGTAAAAATGTGTTTGACTGTTCAAAAGTTTCGTGTTATATTTGGAATCCATATACAATAAAATGGGTTTTATGGAAATTAGGATTGATAAAAGCAAACGTGCAATAAGAATTTTCTGGAAGGGTCAGTTAATTTGGAACATCGTAATATTAAAGAATCGTGATTTTCCCATCTATTGGCGATGAATGCAATTTGTTTTAAAATAAGCAAACGTAACGCAACGAAGCAAGAATGTCTGACAACCGACTATCCAACGATAGCTAGTGCCTCTCCACAAAAATCACAGTTAACCGAGTGCGCTAACGAGTCTCGCGTAACGTGAAATGCGTTTAGGGGTGTAGGGAACCGCGACCTTCTTGTGACGAGTCTCAGGATGCCTCTTCTTTCACGGGGCGGCTGCACGATAGTCCCGGGTCTCTTCCTGATCCGCTTTCGCGCCGCTTGAAATATCCTCCAGTACAGGAATAGAATGACGAGCAGTGGCAGATAGAAAGTGGTGCAAGTGGCGAAGATCTGAAAAGTATTTAAAGAAAATTCCCGTGTCAGTCGTGAATCGTGCGACTCGCGTAATTCTGGGCGTCGTTGCAGCTCGAATAATAAAATGCACCAACCTGGTATGCGAGGTCCTGCGACACCAGACACGTTCCGTCGGCAATACGGTCTAAATAATCAGGATCTTTCCAGCCGAGTTGGGGCGCCAACGAGATTCCTAAGGACACCAGCCAGACGGTGACGATCAGGATACCGATCCTCCTCGGATTCCTCGCCTGGGAAGTAAAGAAATTCCTTCAGCGGCTATCGTACTCGTGAATCGTTCGATATCAACCCACTACCCGTTCGAGCCACTTTTTCGTTTTTCTACGCCAGATATTTTTATATCCTTGGGTTCGGGATAGCGTTCAGGCCAAGGTCGAAAAACCGCTTATCGAGAACGTTTCGTTATTGGAATAATACAAATATTCGAACGTTTCGAGTTCTCGAAGGGGATTCCTACCAACGACTGAACCGATATATCGTTTGTACAAGTTCTCGTATGATCGAGCGCGATTTAGGCAATTGCTAAATGTGCTCTGTCCCGTTGCCAGAACTATTTCAATATAACTCGGCGTTTCGCTCGAGATGGCCAGCTTCTCGAACTACAAGGATATTATCGTAATCCCGAGTCCCAAATCCCAGAGCAGGACATGCGGGCACTGGTACCAGGATATCGTTGGATTTAGATTCGATTAACCATCGGTCGTCATTGATACGACGCCATCTTGATCGACCACCTTGGTACCAAACTTGAATCATCTAATTCCGTTTCAACGCGAATTAACATAAATTCCCTGTTCCGGTTTCGCTCGCCGTTTCGAAGTGTCCAATGTGAAAGAGTAACGATTCTGAAAACGAGACTCGGTTCGCAAAATTCTACGTTTCTATCCCTTTCAACTTGTGAGAATTTGAAACGATACTCTTTAAAATATGCTATTTACCACGTTAAATTATTTAACAATTTAATAATATAACAGTACACAGTGTATTGTTAGATGCATTGAATTCCGACTAAATTCAAAGAAACAGTTTCCATAAAGTTGTGTCGATGTTGCATAATTTATAAATTCTTACCGATACGTATTTATGGATTTTCTGGAAGTATTATTTTAATCCTTTTAAGAAAGAATGAACGAACGGTTGTTGGAGAAATTATCTTTACTCTGAGGCTCGATGATATATTGCTGTTGTCGAATTTCATTGTACGAGAAATGAACATGGAGGGACGTTCGTTTTAAGAATCGTTGCTGCAACCTTTCCCGCGTACAATTCAACGGAATCTCCTCGAAGGAAAAGAAACGAAACAACGGCTCGGATCGTGCACGCAATGGACCAACTAATTGCATCCTCTATTTTAATGATCCCCCGGTTCTCGAATAAAGGGGAGCAGGACACCGGGAACCCGATTATCGAATCACACTCTGGGATCAATATTCGGAGCTTATCCGGAGCGTGGCCTGATCTCCTTCCCGATACTGTCGTCCCTACGGGTCCCTAACACGCGATCGTGACGCAAGTTCCGTCATTCGTTACGTTCTGGTACCGGCTCGCTGCCGACCGCGACGGTGTTAATTAACCTGTATATAATTGAGATCGGTGACTGCCCAATATCTGTCGACCGCGATAGCCACCAGATGCAATATCGAGGCGGTGCAGCAGAGAACATCGCTGCTGGTCCACATGTCGCAAAGCTCGGGCCCCAACGACCATCTGGAGTTTATCTGTAAATAAATAAATTATCTGTTAGCCGACGCGCGGTTCGAGTCGCGACCGGTTCGATCGATGCCACCCCGAAGATCCTGAGGGTGTCTTTAACGACGACACACCCCCACCGGCCGCTCCGGGATCTTCGGCCATCGAGTCTCAGCATTCGTGTAAAACGATCGTTCAAACGTCTGGGATCATCCGTCTTCCAGACTCGGGCATTAATCAACTATCCTTTGATCCTTAATGCAATTAATTACTGAGAGTAATCGTGGTAATCGTAATCATTGATCTTTACATAGAGTAATCTAGCAATCTTCTACAACACGTTTTTCGTACACTCTGTAATTGGTAATCAGTAACTTGTAACCGTAAGCTTGGAAGTACCTGTTTACTTACAGTTACTTCTCCACTCGTATACGTACACTGTAATGGTGATTCGCTATAAATGAAAAGTGTTTCTTACGAATATTTTCAATATTAATATCAACAATACGGTGTTTTTTCCTCAAACAGTAACCAATCCCTGTTACTGACCGCGCCCATTGCAGCTTTACTTCGACGAAGGGACGAGATGTGTCCAACGCGCCACGACCGCGTTGACAATCTGTATTTTTAATTTATACATAAAATACAAGTTTCTCTTTTTATTCATAGCGAATTATTATAACGTACGAATACGAATATGTAACCAAACACTTAAAAAATAAATATAAAAGTATCCCATTCTACGTTCTCGCGCCGTGAATTTCGCCCCAGCTCGTACGAGACTTGCTTTGTATAACTTTAATCAATCCGTTGGGTAAAGATTGCTTTCAATTAATTTTTGTCATCAATCTTGGGCGACCTGCCACGGGTCATCCTCCATCATAGAGTGATTGATATTGGGGGCATCACTTGTACCGGAACATTTCTGATTTCAGATTTTTTTTTCGGGCAACGAGAGCTGCCTCGTTTTAGTTTTAGGTACGTTGGAATTTTGTCCGGAGGGTGGGGGTGGTGGAGGGGGAGGGGGGGAAAAATACATAACCAGGAAATATTGCGAAGCTTCCCTCGTTGATAGACTGCATAAATTAATTCTTCTATTGTCTAGCACGTCACCGTCAGGAGTTTGTACAGAGAAGAGGCGTAGTCGGTGAATATATTTCCTGTGCGTCGACGAAACTTTCCGATAATATTTACGGTTTACCGTGAACTTATAAGTTTACTCTCGAACGTAATAAATGAAACGTCAGGTCTCGTGACAACGCTCTCTCTCTCTCTCTGTGATTTAAACAGGAAATAAAAAGGTCTGCAACGATTTCAGGCATTGTCAGTACTGTCTGCGGTACTTGCTAGTTGCCTGTCTCGTCCTTTCATCCATTCTCATTCGCCCGAACAGCGGAATTGATTTTGAACTTTCGATGCTTCGCGGGAGAAAACTCTGCCTAACGCTCTCAACTCGTTAATTGTTTAACGCACGCTTTTCCATTCCGTCTGCCGACTTTCGAACATGGTTTGAAACAAAAATAGAACCGCCGGAGGAAACTACTCGACCTGCATCGAATGCACGAAAGAGTCTTCCGTCGAAGACAAGCTCTGATTTACAGCTGGTCCTTGTAAGAGAAAATACAGCATTGAAAACGTAATAACGAAGAGTCGAATGGCGAAATTGTAATATCCGTTTCCGCGACTATAGTAATAACGAACGGTATAATGAAAATTACTGGAGAAACGGACTCGACGATGGAAATATAAGTAATGCTACAGGCTCGAAGTAGTAGTTATTGTGCTTTTAAAAGGAACAACGTCGACTCAACTACATGGCAGACTCGTTTCTAATCTGTTACCCTTGCATAAAGCAAAATCATCGGTGTACATAAGAATTACTAGTATTTTTATGCAATTTTTTTATACTGCAATCAATTATGTATATAAGTTATGATATAAGTTATTTAGTATTTTATCTCGTGTTTATTTGAATGTTTCCGTGGTATAGATGGACAATTTAATTTAACGAAAGAATCGTTTCGATTATAGTAAAGATATATTTGGAAATCATCAAAATACGGAATGTGCTTTCGACGTAATAGAGCGGATAGTAGGCCATTTATACCAATGGAGAGTAACAACAGAGAATACATCCCTGGGGCACGCCTAATTTGATAGAACGCTAAGAGGATTTGATCCTACTTACAATCTGCATAGTATGACAGCAATCACTAGAGATGAGCTGGAAACTAGTTGATAACAGTACTTAAGCATCCCAAGACTACCACTTTATTAAAGGCTTTATTAAAGCCAAAAACACTATCGTTCTTTTACTACTGTTTTCTCGACACTACCAGTGCTCTTGAAGAAAGCTCGAGTACTCAAGCTCGATTAAAATCCAGTTTCGTACGAATCAAGTTGGTTATTATTGTTTAGCAATTTTTCTACTGGATAGGAGTAACCTGAATACACTTGACGCCCACTAGGGCACTCGTGACTCCGTTACTGTAACTAAATATAAAAAAAAATCTTTAAAAATCATATTTTTAAAAGCTCGAGCCATAATAATAGAGCAAAACGATCTTTTTTTAAAGGGTGCTGAACTGGAAACTCCCCTTAATGAGTGTGTCGTTGGATTGATCACATCACTAATCGTACCCAACCACCCTTGCGGGAGTAAAATACGATAGTCTCGCGCGTGCACATCGATAAGGAATCGAGCACACCTATAAAAGTCTGAAAGCTGAACGCGTTCTGATGGAAAGCGCTCAGCTTTCTGGAAAAGAAGGCCACCAAGACTTCGTCCAACCCCCCGCCCCACCCTCCCCAGCCAGTAATTGGCCTGGTTGCCAGCCGACGATCGCTCATTTCTACGACGTCCCGTGTAAGTTCGATCGTAACGTGTGGCCGGATCTCTTTGGCCCTGGTCGATGCCAAGGATATCGGAGCGCAATAGTTCAGAGCTACGATTTCGTCGACGTGGAGCAACGAAGCACCGGGAGAATGAGCGTGGGTGATCCGTGGGAGCTAAAAAGCATCCAGCTTTATGAACAGAGCCTTGTTCGTCGTAAGAAGAAACGGGGAGATTTCCCTTCTCGTCGGAATACGGGGATCTTCGACGATCTACTTTTTTTGTCGAAAATGGTAACGATTCTTTCGGAAGATCGACGAAAAGAATTCGCCTTTCCTGCGTTCTAAGTCACTCGATTATTGTCGAAAGCTGTCGAGCATCGAGTCGTTGCATCTCAACGATTTAACTTTATTATTCTAACTGTGACAACGTTGTCGAATTTCTGCGCTTTATCTTATATCAACAGACAATTTCTGTTACTTTGCGAGTAATTTTAAAGCGTGGGGTCCATCGCCTCTCGTATTCGCCGCCAGAGGGACCCGTTCCTCTCGCAAGCACTCGACTATTTAACAAAAAAGTGTTAGGAACCTTTTTGCAATCTGAAACTCCTCGAATCTTGACTAAATAATAAATCATTTTCTCCCTGAAAGATAAACGACCGATAGTACATTTTTTATCGCCAAACGGTCGGAAGGGCCGTTGGAAACGTCGCTGGAATAAACAAACGTTCTATCTGGAAAGTTCTCATTAATTCAAAGCGCACGTCTCTGGCGGAAATACGATTGGACGAGAGTTCTCGCTTCCGTTCGGATGTTTCAACCCGGTTAATTGAAGATGCCTGGCCAGTTAATTAGAAATGTCGAGCCGGTGGACGTGGACGAAGGGTTTTCGGGAACGGGGCGAATTTATCCGTTGCGAAATTCATGGCAGGCCGCGCGGAGCACGCGATAAGGTTCAAAAGTCGTACGTAACGCCTGGCGATAAATAATTTATTTGCAATAAATAATAAAAGTGGCGAGTGCGTCCGCTCGGCCGTGTGCCAGCCGGATAGAACGTGTGCAGCTTCTATTCAAAGCTACTCGCGTACAAATGTTAAATCACGAGAGGTACAGAGTGGTACACTACGAGCGACGATTGATTTAAAAGGCTGTCCCATTTTTCGAGTCCCTGAAGAACGCTCGCCGAGCGTGTTCCTAAATAAAACTCCAGCTTCTGTCAAAGTTGCACAAGCCAGTTTCCTTGGGTTCGATAAAGTCGCCGTTTCTGCAGTTGCATAATAAAACGCAGCCATGATATTTTAATTCTACGTAGACCTGAGCGTTTCGGGAAATTCTCGAAATATTCGGTGATTTTATAAATCGTTTCGTTTCTTATCAAACTTTATATAAACGTCCATGTAAGCTTACGAGGTTACAGATTGTACAGTAATATAATGAAAAAGTAAACGCGTAAAGTGATTCTAAGATTACAAGGCAGGGATTAAATAAATAAATAATACAAACGTCCATATCGTGTGTAGATCATAGGTTTATAGAAAATTCTTCCTACGTCGAAGCATTTTTAAAAAGATAATATTTTTGACGTTCATATAAAAATTAAACAGTTTCACAAGATAAAGAACAATTTTGCGAAAAATAAAAATCTTCAATAGGGAAGACATGGTATCCCATTCGCTATATTCAGCTCTATTTCGATGCATGCGAAACTTACAAAATGGAAAAAATGTTAATAGCGAGCGCATCGAATCGTTCGAATAAAGATGAACAGCAAAACATCGTCGATTTTGAAAACGACGATTAAGAGAAAAAAGACATCTTCGTATCAACAAATCTATCACTTTCCTTACTTTTCTAACAATTACTATTCTTTTTTTGTCAATCCTGCACACGTTTAAATGCGATACGACGATTCGATGCTGGCGTTGGTGCTTCCAAACGAGAAACGGTCGTTGAAATAGTGCCAATAAGAATCGTTGATTCTGTGAATTTTATATAAGGTCCTTTGCTCGAAAGGAGAAAAGAGAAAGAACGAAGCACGTAGATGGAACGTATCCTTTGGCCTCTGGGAAAAGGAATTCAATTTCCGGGTCGCGAGAATCTTTCCTGCAGATCCCGTGAACGTAATCGCAACACCATGGCCGTGCACACCGGTGTGTTGAAAACAAGCCGTCCGAATATCTAGTATCTAGCGAGAGAA